CGACGAAAAAAAAAAAAAAAAGAAAGAAAAGAAAAGGGTTGAACAAAACACGACGGGAAAAATACGACGCTCGAAAACTTTGATTCCGCGAAAAGCTGAATCGAACTTTCGATAAAAGCACCTGCGACGTGCGTGGGCACCATTCGAGAATCGACTGCTCGAACATACCCTAAATTTAACATTCTCGGCGACGGCCCACATTAGAAGAATCGTGTCTATACGTATCGCCCCTCTGTGTGACGGTAAGCGTGTATCCCTGTGTGTGAACAAGTTTGTTACACACTGTGTATCCAGTGTAAAGATATACCCACGCGTGTGAACGTCCCTCCGTGTGTCCCACATGCAGACAACATTTATAGACGCGTGTTCGTTCGAGTGTTTTACACATACATATACTTAGGTTGTTTGAAAAATAACGAGATCCATTCTATTTAAGTTTTTTTTTTTTCTTTATAAATACTACCTATTAAATATCAATGTCGTTTCGATTGATATTATCTCGATATATGTTCCTCTCTCGAAAAACAAATATAATATAACAAAAATATATATATCAAGAATGATAATTATTTAAAATATATCGATCGATCTTTCGAGCCAAAATTTAAAAGAGACGTTCAAAATGAAGAATTTCTACAATTTTTAAAAATAGCATAAAAGTATCTTCGTTGTAATATCTTCGTTCGAGTTGTAATATATTCTCAAATTTCTACGAATGTTAAAGTAACAATTATCAATCAGGAGAATCAGGTGGAATTTAGTGTCTCTTCTAGTAGATGCGACGTATAAAATTTCCGCCAGTTATTAGAATATTGTATAAATACGCGAATCAATATTTGCTCGAATATAACTTGCGTAATAACGTATACGTAATTGCAGGGGAACGTGTATCTTTCAATATTATACCATATTCGTCGCTTTCATAACTGAATCGTATCGAAAGACCCGTATATATTTAAATAAAGGCCCATTAACACGCGATTTCTCAAAAAATTCTCCTCATCTGCTTTATCAGTTCCAGTATCGATTTATCAAATAGAAATGAAACTCGTAAACCTTCAAATTGTATTTAAATTTTTGATATTCGAAACGATTAAAAATGCCATCTGTATATGCCAGAGCGTAGACAGCATAATTCTAAAGACAGACGCGCGATTTCGAAATAAGTTTCGAATTGATATCACGCGACATCACAACCAGTCAATGTGATCGCCAGATCCGATTTATCGGATATTAATTGGCAACAGAATCGCTCGTTAAAGCCAAGACGCATCGTTCAACGATTTAACTCTTTAATATTTGACGAGCTTTTTCCTTTTCCCATCCGATTTTAAAATCCATCCTTTCGAAATCAACGCGATGAACAATTTGAAAATAATAAAATTCCGATAAGACGAGAAGAAGCAATAAAATGATATTATTCTTCACGAAATTTAATCCTCGTCGAGAACACGAATACAACAGTCGAAAAATCTTGGACAAAATGATTTGTTAATTATTGAAATTCATTACCGTGAACCTCCATTTGTATGCACATTCCCCAGGACACAATCAGCTTTATGACTATACCGCGGCACGTATGATACAATATGAATAATTTTATCAATTTACTTCTCGACGATCAGCTCCGATATTAATCGTGAATAATTGTTATCAATTTCTTTCTCATCATCGAATCTAGCGATCATAGAACGCGTTTCGTTTTGCCTATTTCCAAATATTTTGATATAATTCATTATTATCAATCAGTGAAATCTTATCAAATGAAGATGATGCTACCTTATATCTCTAAACTATTTATCAATTCATTGCTTATATATTAATCGTGCCTAAAAAAAGACTAGGGTTTAATCATCACGAAAAGAAAAAAATTCGTGGAATGTTTTCTGTTTCTTTTTTATAACAATATAAATTTTTAATAGATATTTGTTTCAATTTATCGGCGATAGAAGATCCATTACGAAATTCCATAACGTTCTTATTGAGCCATTGTGTTTTGGTTAAGCTCCAAATGATTTATGCACGCCAATGTATAAGCCGAACAATGTTAACCTGGCAAGTTAGCTATTGCTCGCATCCGCTTTCACGTTAATTAGTAAGATACATCCAAAGATAGAAGAGCTGTGACTGATAGCAGCCAGAATACGATGAAACCCATCAGTATGCACGTTCGATCGCTTCATCGATTGGTGTAAAATGAAATCACAGTGGATTGGATGAATTGGGACCGCAGAGGAAGGATAAACCACGAGGAACAATCTAGCAAGCGTGAAAATTACCATGCAATTAAATTACAAAACTCGGTTGTAATTTCGCCATTAGACGAGTTATACCGTAAATCATTCGTCGATATCTGGCAAATATCGATCATAATCGATTTCCTCGATCGAGAATTTCTAAGAATCGTAAGAGAGCGTTAGCGGTGAACTCGACTCGTTCTCAATCGAGATAAATCGCGCTCGAATATCGATATGATTTAATCGGTTAAACTGTATTTTCGTTGAACTGGAACCGGACGAAATAAAAGTTGGACGGAACAACGGAAATGAATTATTCTCGGAAGGATTAATTCATGACGCACGATCGAGATTCCGTTTAACATTTCAATGATCAATTAGCAATGTCGTACGTATATGCTTTATCGTTTCATCGCTTCGAGCGAACATTACGTTTTTAAAAATACGCCGAATACAATACGATCTCGGATATGGCGGTATACGCGCAACTCATTCTTTATTCGAAGTGATTTGTACCGATGTGTGTGGGTGGTTCGTACGATTCGAGAATATACAAAATATTAATTTTCTTGCAAAGTACAATAGAATCTTCGTCGTTCATGTGCGAACGATATATTACGATACACGTATATAAAGTTTTATTTCTTTTTACGAGACGAAATTTATTTATTAAATTTATTTAGCAACGAGGAAAACGATTATATTCATCGACATTTCGTTCATCGAAAATTATTAAAAAATACGGATTATACGGATTCGTTAGAAGTTTCGTTGCATTAAAATCAGGACATAGAAGGCATCGTTTCACAGGATAATGTCTGATAAGTTTCGTTTATACAGGAAGGGAAGTGAGAGGAAATAGAACGTTGAACAATGAGAAAATCCGAAAGGCACGGTCCATGCGAACTAACACGTTAACGTTACCTACCCTGAGTCAACGGTTTCATGACAGAAACCAATACCGTGAAATATCTAGCAACTCTATGTATACCAACCGGAAGCCACCGAATTGTTTCGGCGGAACTTCCCCAGACGGCGTGCAGGTGCAGCTGCGAATAGGTATTTCTAAAGCTACTACCAGAATCCAATTTAACGTTGCCCTATGCTACCCTTCGCCTTCCGGTATATTTTAATCCTGAGCATTGTCTACAGTGTCTGGGCGGATTCATTATCGGTGATTGCCATCGAACTTGCACGCGATTGTTCGACCTTTGCCCTCTTATCGATCGTAAACGCGTCTCCTCCTCCCGCTATCTCCTTTTTTTGGCAGAGCCAAACCCTTTTTTTTTTGCCTCTATCTCTATTCGAAGTTCATCGCGTTTAACGGGAACGGGCGAGGGAAATTGGAATAAAAGGAGAATAACCCATTCTCCCAACGATATTTGAATAATTGAAAATATTTAACGCGTTGACAGAGACACCTTTTAACCCATTTAATTTCTAATCAAAAACTTTTTTTATCGAATGAACGAGATTGTTTAATCTCGCAATTCGATGACGCGTGGAATGAGCGCATCGTCGTGGAACGATTATTTTCGGAAATAATTTGGAGTGAATTTTAAAAATTCATGGAATAATTTGATTTTTGAAGAAAAAAAGGAAAAGAAATATGAGATATTGTTTAGAGCGTCGATAGCCGGCGCGGCACGAGAACCACGAGACGTGATTAAATAGCCGGTTTCCGCAAAACGGCGAGCACATCCCCACGAGAAGTGTAAGTACATAAGCTTTCGGCCCACTTCCTATTCATTACTCTCATTATCAGTCACGTTGTCTCCCCTTTCGTCCTATATCGTCTCCGTTTCGCATACATCACGCTTACCTGCACGCACACCAACTTCCTACGAATTTACTGGCTAGAAACCACGGCAAAGCGTCGTCCATAAATGAACCGCGTGCTCGTGCATGCGGGAATTAAACCGGGGAAATAAATTAAAAATATGCATGTGACCGGTGGAAAAGAGGAGAAGAGAGATTATTTATATTTAGGGATTATATATCCATCTCTAAAATTTCCTCTCTTTATTCCCGCTTTATCAAATATTATTCGTGCTATTAACTAAATAGATATCTAACACATGACTACGAAATATACAAATGTAAATTAATTATTTCGAATTGCGTGGAATTACTCCGATCAAATTTTCCCCCCCTTTGCTTCAACGTTAAACGCAATTGTACGATATTCAAACGTACACCTTCGGGCTACGTTTCCATTATCATGATCGAGTTTATACGAATATCAGAGAGCAAGGAAAGACGTTGAAAATATGAAAAACTTGCGGAAAACATGACGTGGGAACGTGAATAAAATATCCGTTTCGTGTAAATGCGAAATACGGAAAAATTCTAACCTCTAATTTTCTATATTAAACGCACCGAAAATAAGTACCCGCGACAAGGTGTCGAGCACGTACGCGGAATTAATCCAAAGGAACAAGAAACGAATTTTATACCCTCCTCGAATCAACCGCTTTTACGCTCGTGCCCCCTTTAAATGCCGCGCGCATCCGGCACAGAAGCAGCCGCGTTTATTTGTCTTCAAACGCGTTCCTCCACTTCCTTTCACGGTCTTTTC